CCCCCGGTTCTCTGGTGCTCAGCGGCTCTGCCGAGGCGGCGGCCATGATGGTGTTGAGGCGTTTCAGAGAGAGGGGGCGCTGCTTGAGCCGGAGGGTGGGGCCTGGCTCCTCTGGGGCCGGCTGTGGAAGGTGAGCGAACCTCTGGCCGTCCTCGTCATACTGGTACAGACGGAGGACACGGCTGGGGCGGCCTGCAGGGGGCAGAGTTTCTGCTCCTCCTCCTCCTTTACTTCCTGTCTCTTCGTTATTGCTGTCTGTATCTTCGTCCTCCCCATCTCTACTTCTCTCCTCCTCCCCCTCCTCTCCATCCTCATTGCTGCTATTTTCCTCCCTATCTGCCTCCTCCACCTCTTCCTCCTCCTTTCTCACTTCTGTATTTTCCTCCCCTCCTTCTCTACTTTCTTTCTCCTCTCCATCTTTACTATCCGTGTCTTCATCTGTTTGGGTTTGTCTCTCTCCATCCTCGCTTCGATAGAAATGATTAAACTGCTCTTCCTTGGCCTCCCCATCACACTCTTCATTATTTCCCTTCAAACCTTTTCCTTCCTCCTCCTCTTCCTCCTCCTCTTCCCTCATGTTGTCACATCCTTCCAGCTCAGTTTCTTGCTCCTGTCAATTTTCCCAGAAGCTTCTCTGAGGTTTGGTGGGGGGGGGTAATGGTAGTCTCCATGGTTGAACAATGAGCAGAGTCGGCGTCGCTGTCCCACGCTTGGTTTTCGTACATGGGCGATAGTGTTGCCATGGTGACCTCAGAGCCAGTTGTGCGTTGTCGTTGTGATTGAAACCTCATGGAGAGGTTCCCTAAACACCTGGAGAGGACATGATGGAGATTACACATCTTTTCAGAAATTAAGCCGTTTGCTTTACTCACTTTGACTGTTGTAGATTATTTTCTTTATTGACCAAAAGTTAGCATTACAAACTGCCTTATTTGCATAGTTAAACATCACTTTTTAGAAACCTCAAAAATACAAAATATCTATCAGCGATCCATTTGGGAAGTTACCTGGTGATGTTTATTATTTCACGTTTTTTACCCTAGCCCTGGCAAATTGTATGTCATTGTTTTTTTTGGCATTCATTGGTCCTTTCATTTCAGCATTCAAATGAGTTCTCAGAGTTCTCTGAGTTAGGTAGGGAGGCCCTGAGAAGAGAGGGAGGAAGAACATCTGATCTCATGGTTTCTCTGTCCTGTGTTTATGACTTAGGAACAATAAGGGAAGACAATCTTCAAACTTTGTTCACCTGGACTCAATAATTGGCTCATACAATTTTGGAGGTCAAAGGTCAAGATAAAAAAAAGGTGTCTTGAGAAAACATAATCTGGCAAAACATTTATTTAAAATTCTGAGGATGAAAGAATAATTACAAAAAGTGTTATGAATCTGATCCCAGTGTAAACAAATGCCTGGACTGACCTGAGGACAGGGGTCATGCTCAGAGCTCCAGCGCTGAAGCCAACCACGAACGTCAGCAGAACTGAAGCCGCCACAGCTCCTGCAAAGTGAGCGTCTGAAACGCCTGCCTGCATCTCTTCCAAGGACCCGACGTCCCTCCTGAACCTGAACTCATCACGCTCCTCACCTCCGCTGTGTACCTGCTCCTCTTCATCACTAAGCTGACCCACAATCAGCTCGTAGGGCCACAGTACAGTTACCTCTGTTTGCTGCAGGAGGCAGTAGTACAGGCCGCGGTGCAGGAGGCTGGGGTTGGGGACCTTCAGGCTTCCATCATGAAGCATGAAGACGGGGTCCATGTTACTGTGGAAACCAGGGGTCTGAAGGTTTCCAAAAGGGGTGTGCCAGTACTGAACCACACCTGCAGAAAGGGTGAGCACAAGCAGGAATGAGTCCTCAAACACAGAAGGAGAAGGAATGAGTTTTGCACTTCCAGTTTCCTTGTCTAAAAGTCCATCGTTTTTATTAAGATTATTGGAAAAAGATCTGTGGGAAACAGTTTAAGATATTTTCAATACCTTAGTAAATACACAACTCATCACTTTTAAAGCTTTTAAGAGTCTTAAAGAAGGAGATTCCTAATAAAAGTTCAATGTGACTTCAGGGGTTTCCAGGCCTAACGCTGGTGCAAAAAAACAGATGCCTTTTCTGATACAAAGTCACTTCTCCACCTCTCTCCGATAATTACCAAATCACCTGGTACCTGAAACTGCCTTTAAACACTCAAATCAACTAAAACAAGGACACTGACATAATGATGAAAACATTTATTTTTAAATGATAAATGTTTAACAATAAGAAGCTACAACCCATGGAGCACAGGTCACATGGTACAGCGGGGTGGATGATGCTGATGATACACTCGTGCTGAGAAGCCTGTGTCCGTCCTCTTTACTGACCTGCTTTCTTTCCGTCTCCACAGTTCAGAGTCAGCTCTGCCTCTGGTTGACCTTTGACCCTGCAGGTTGGTGCAACGCTCACAGAGCCGCGGCCATCAGCGGCGCACAGAAAGGCAGTGAAAGTTAACCACCTGGTGAACATTCTGAACATACATGAAACAATTCAGTTGTGTTTATGGTTCTCAGTGAATTACTCTTGCAGCATGAAAACTCTGATCCAGCTACGAGCTCTGTTAAAAGCAACTCCAGAGAGAGTTCCAGACACACAGAGTGACGGTGCAACATTCATCACACAAACAGGACTTCACTCTCTCGTGGTTTGATCTTAAATTACACAGTGTGCTAACATGTTTCACATTATAACTTTATAGGGAAGAAATATATATAAAAACGTAATATCACAATGAAATTAAATGTATTGTGGTGCCGAGGAAAGGGAGTCGGAGGCAGTGTGTTTAGAATGGAGTTCCACTCTTTATTATAGGTTAACATCCAGAAGGTAATACACGTCTGCTCTGCATGACAAGCCAGCAGGACTGAATAGCTAACACTACCGGTGTTCCCACTAAAGGGTCCGTGTAGCAACACAACAAGCAAGGTGAATTATGGTCCACAATATGGTGTCACCACAATATGCTATATGCTCTGACCGTTCCACTTCCTGCCTGCCCGACCTTACGTTACGGCTGCGCCGCGTCAAAAATAGGATTCATCCTAATTGTAGAGGAGCCCTGCCCCGAGGCGCTTCTGGGATGCTTCTGGGCCGTAACGCGCCGCGTGTGGAGGAATAGCACCCATTGACTAGAGTGGCCGCGATCAACGCGATCGCCGTGAGCACCGCGGCGCAGCCGTAACGCGCCACAGACGGACCAGGTGGAATCTAGGGGTAAGGTCGGGCAGGCAGGAAGTGGAACCTTCAGAGCATATAGCATATACACACACACAAACTAATTTTGCAGACCCTATCCCTCCGTAGTCTTTCAAGTAGGAGGAGAAATGCCAGCGTTCTCCTCCGGTTTACAGGCACTGTGTAAATTATATATAGGCTATAGAATGATTATGATGATGAATGCATTTTTTTACCACTAAAATACAGCAACATATCTTTGATTCATGTCGTTTATAACTGGGATATTACAATTATTATTAACTTTGTCTGTACAAAGTAGCCTGTCCAGGAAATATGCCCAAATCAACAAAAACTGCGAGCCGGCAGGCAAGACACTCCGCTTCTGAAATGCTTCTGAAACGCGCCCGTTAGGGTATAACGCCGGAGGAGGCCGGTGTCGGCATGGGCGTAATTTCCACTGGGGACAAAATCCCGTTTGTGTCCCCCCCCACTTTTCAAATGTGTTTTTTTTTTTTTTTACGCAAGTGGTCATCGTCACGGAGGAGCGTATGTG